TTTCTTTATTTTTTTTCCAGTGAATAGCTGTTTCTAAATTATGTAAAAAACAAAAACAAAACAAAAAAACAAAACAACAACAACTACGGTGCTACAAAGGCCCGTACTTTCTCGCCTCAGTAACGGTTACGTCAATTTATATATCGCAATTTCTGACTATGTTAACACATTTCAACCAGCGCTTGTAACACTAATTGCCAATTGTAGAGCATTAGGCGCGAAAACTTAAGCTAATACATCAGTGTAAATTCGGTAATCCAAAACACCGTTATATTCACCCAAGAACACCGACCAACAATAAGAAATTCTTTTGAAAATTTCAAACGGCCGCGACATGACATTGACAAAATTGTGTTGCAACCTGATAGGTTCTAGGAAAAGAAGTGCGGTAAATGCGATTCTTCTAGAAGAACATTCAACAGAAATTACATAGAGATCTTCGAAAATGGGACCAGCACCATTTTCTTTACTGGTCTTTGCTACATACGAGGAAACAATTGGCGCCGTTTATGAGAAAATGATTACTTAAAATTTGTCTATTTCTCGCAAAAATTGCTCATACTTCAGAAAATTGTACAAGGCCTTCGTTCAAGATGAAGATAAGTTAAAGATGAAGGAAGGCAGAATATTTTCTAATAAAAATGGTACCCTTTTGATCAGATTCTAAGAAGTTTTTTGCCGTTGTTATTTTATAAGAAACTTTTTGGGGCGAATCTTTCTTGAGGAGGAAAGCAGAACAAGTCTACAGCTTAAAAAAACTTTTTATCCCAACTATTCCACAGAACATATACGAATGGTTTAGCACAAAATATATGGAACTAGTGGTGATACAAAATGGTAGAGACTTTCTTGTACTAGTTTTTTTTATAATCTCTTTAGCCTCGGCTAGCTTTTCCCTTCAATTTTCAGGTTTCCTTATGCTACATTTCTTGAGCGTTTGAGCGGAACTGAATATGCACATTTTGAAATTCATTTTCACCTATAACTTTCGAGAATTGAAGAACTTAAATTGAAATCATATGAAAAATTTCTATTCACAAATGCAATATTGTATAAAATCGTCCATAATGTAAATATTAACGTCGTGAGATATATTGAAAAAAAATCATTTGTGTAATTTGGAAAAATGAAAACAGTATATCAAATTAGACTTAAGGTCATGTTATTCGGTGCTTTTAGGATTACCCGTAAAAAATATAAAGAAAAAAATAGTATTTTGGAGAAAAAACACTTTTTTGTTATCCCAGGACCTCAAAACGCGTATTTCCGTTGCAATATCAAAATCGATATTTTGCAGCATTATAACTTTGCCTGTACCGAGTATATTACTCCGTCTATTCGCTGTTTACAAGGCTATAATAGATGTGTACAATTAATGTAGAAACAAGCACTAAAAGAAATATAACATGCACTATAAATCATAATATATTATTTCTGGCAACAGAAACATGAATTTGAGTGACATTAATATTTTTATTTTATGAAATTAAGTATTTTTTCATTTAAATTTGCTTTTTTATATATTAGTAGTAAACTTAAATCAATCACATATTGTATGTTAAATGATATTTCGTATAAAATAGATAATGTTCTTCTGATTATTCGTAATATAACGATGAATGTCAACAAACGTGAGTAGACGTAACCACATGATTTTGCTTTTGTAGCGACAAATAATTATGTATGAATCCTTTCAACAATTCTTGTGTGGTGTATCACTTCCGACCTCGGGAATAAAAGAGGAAACAGTGAATGAGTGAGCTCCATGAGCAAAAAGAGCTACCAGGTCAGGTCAGGTCAACGACCCCTTGGGCGCTCGATCGTGTCAATGAAAAAGGACGAAAGCAACGGTGAATAGATTCCAAAACTTAGGTCATTATTTCCTTTAGAACGAAATGTGGAATGCGGAATGCGGAGTATGAAGGAGAGTAGTTTTTGCGTAGAAGCGTTCCGTAAATTCCTCGGGAAGTCCCTGATTCAGTTACGTACATAGCTGTTTCCAAACTCATTTTATATCTACTGTAGAATGGCAATCACGCACTACCATACATTTCACCACATCATTGACAATATCGGTAGTAACACACATAATAATCTTCATTTACATGCATTTCATACTTATGTAAGAAACGTGCTGATAATGTCACCTTTTCCACCTTGAAACAAATGTTCATGATATTTGAAGAAATTCATGTATCTATTTTACAAGGACTATCCAGACTTCAAAAAGAAGGGCACTTTTCTTGTTCTATACAAAAGAATTTTGATGAAATAACCATGTGGAATCATTCTGCACGGTAGGGTCTCGTAATAGTGAAAATTGGTGAAAATGACTTTTCATTTTATTAACCATTAGTGTATAGCGAATGTTTAATGAAATGTACCGGTTAAATAATATTTGAGAGAAAAGAGTAGGGGATTTTACGTTTTCAGTGTTCATAGTAGGGAGTTTTGGCACAACGCTCCGCAAAGTTATATGTTTTACTACGCTACTGGGCAACTACGTGGCCTGTATCGTTTGAAGAGCTAAAACCGTTTTGCGAAATCTTTTCCTTCTAAGACTTCGATAAATCGAAATTGATCACAACTGTGTTTGGAAAGAGAGATACTAACGCCACGTTACCATAATGCCACATCCACTATATTCGCTTTTGTTGAACTTGACCCGTCCTTCGATCATTTGTATGTACATAGAGCAAATATTTTGTAATGTGATAAGCCAAGTGACCCTTCCCTAATAATATAATCATTTAATATAGTATTAAATAGTATTACATTTTATTTGTAAATGCAGAATTCTAATGTGGGCAACGTAATCGGGGTGCTAAGGTAATGAATGTAAATAAATAGCAGTCCCGGGGAATATAATTACATCCATTTCTTATAACATAATTCGCATGGGTGGATTTATTTTGTTTTGATATCCGGCGCAAGAACAAATAAAGCGGATGGTTTGCCGACACGTGAACATGCCAAGTACAATTGACCAGAAGAAAAACATGCATTTTGTAGATTCAGACCACAAACACTCAAGGATTGGCCTTGAGAATTGTTAATCGTCATGGCGAATGCAATACGAATCGGAAATTGAATTCGTGTAAACTCAAAGGGGGAATCAGTTGGGATCTTCGGAATCCTCGAAATGAAAACTTCCTCACCTTTGAATTTTCCTTTGAGTATCGTCGCGCCCATCACATTGATCATCAGTTTTCTTATCACCAAACTCATTTCATTGCATAGCTTGGTTGGTTTAGATTTCTAAGCACGATTGACTACCGAGCCAACCTTGAGTTGTAAATTGTGCGGTGATAAGCCTGGCATATCCAATGATTTTAAAAAGTCAGTTAGATAGTTTGTGGCTTCGTCTTCGTTTGTTGCACAGTCAAAAGCTTTGAGTGATTACAAATTATCGTCGATCTGATTCAGATTCATCCAAATCTTTGTTCTTAACCGCCAAAATTGCTCGTTCACTCAACCCTTTGTTATTTTTCTGGTTGTAAATGACGTTTGGTAACACTTTGTTGATAAGCTCGTATTTTGATGAAACGAAATTGCAAAAATTGGAAGGAAATGAAATCAATCTGCTCGATTCGTCGATAGGAACACGAACATTACCGATATTCAGCAATTGCTAGGATAAATCTTCAGCCGACGGATCGTTTAGCAATGCGACTGTGATGTTTGCTGCCAGTTGAAGTTCCTTCACAGAGCACTACAGACTTGATGATTTGAAACAAGCGTTTATTTCATCGGCAGCAATCGATAGGGGTTAGCTTATTGGCCTCTGAACCTCCAGGGCGCGGGATCGATCCCGGCCAAAGTGCCCGGATTTTAGAAGATCCACAGTAGCCATGTCACACGTGTGGCATTAAAAAGTTCCCCAGCAAAATTAAATCCCCCCGACAACATTCACCCTTCCGAGATCTCACTTGCTCTTCCTCTTTCTTTCCTCTCTCACTACTTATAATCACACACTTACATGCACTTCAGTACTACATATGTCGGAAGCTTAGTGTGGGGGCGGTGCCCCGCTGAAAAGAGATACGTGCAGGGAGAAATTGCCCACAAACCGACGTATAGTTTGTCGCCAGATCTCACCACCCAGCGGGGGAAGAACACTGCTACCTCCAGGGATAAAACATTAACCACTCTTACGGGACTAATGATCGCAGAAGTTGTTCCCGGAAACACCAATTAATCAATTCAATTAAAATCCTGATCAGTAGAAGTGATGCGACATCGACCACAAAACATCGATATTGTCAATCATCGATGTTCAAAATTAAAACATCGATGTTAATAATACATTGACCAATAACAATCGATGTTTATAGACATCGACATTTTAAAGTTTGTTTTGTAACCTCTAACATTAAATTCGTGCGCAACAAAATTTAATAGACAGTTGGCGTGCATATTAATTTATAATTAAAATTTTACTGAAAAGGTTAAAAATGCCGCTCCCTATTCAAATACCGGGAAATACGACGGAAATACCACATCTGGATCAACTCGGGCGAAATTAGTATAATCGACGAAGATAGTACGAACTGCGTGCGTTTGGTTCGAATACGTTGACAGTGTTATTATCAATTATTATTTCATATTTCAACTTTCACAACATTGGGATTGTGAAACTCGAAACTCTCCCACGAACAAAACATCGAAAACGTAAAAAGAAAACATGGAGCCCAAAACATCGATGTTCAAAAAACATCGGCTTCAATACATCGATGTTTAAAACATCCACGTTGTAATGGCAACATCGACTTCGATGACGCATCCCCAATCAGTAGACGAGTGCGGGGCGCGAGTGATGAAGAGCTTCGTAAGGTGAAGCCGCTCGGCAGCTGGAAGTGGGCGGCGGGGCGGGAGAGGGGCTAAGGCGGTGACGTCACCTGCCTCCTGCCGCCTTCCGCGTCCTGCCGGACCGGCGCGGCGCGGCGCGGCGGGCGTCGGCGGGGGCAGGGCGTGGGGGAGGCACGACGGCGGGCGCGCTCGCACTCCGCACCGGGACGCGTGACACGGCAGCACGCCCGCAGACGCGCTCTCCGCCGCACGCCCGGCCCCGCCCCGCCCCACCGGCTCCCTCGCCCACAGGTAAGTTCCCCGCGCGAAGCCGCCCTCCTTCCGGTTGTTTGTAAACACACGCGAGCAGCGAGAGAGTGTTGCAGCGCTCGGCCCCGCGGAAAGAAACACCTGGGCCCGTTGCACGGCGGCCGCGGAGCAGAACAAGCGTATCGCAACGGGCGAGGCAACCTGCACACACGCCGCTCGGCAGGCAGGTGTTTGTTTTTTGCGCGCGTCGATCGGCGGTTGTCGAGACGTCGTTTACGATCGGGAGGGGTAATTGTGTGCGTGTAAACACGGTTTATTGGCTGGTAGGTTGTGAATAACTTGACGAAAGAACAGTGTGCGAGCGAGGCGACGCGTGGGTGGCTGCCGAGTGGGAGAAGGGGGACGAAGCGAATATGTCGGTGTCTGTGGCGTTCCAGCTGTGCCCCCGCGCTGTCGGCCGCTCAATGGACGCGGAGAGCGACGGTGCGTAGAAACCGCGCGGCCTTGACTTCGCATCCGACCCGGAAACGCCGGGGGTGGGAGGAGGGGGCTTGCGTGTCCGTATATCCTGTGAATCGACCCCTGCGAAACGAACCGAGTTGGCAAACACACGCCGCTCATGATTTCCCCCGCTTTGTCGTTTTGTAACCGCTAGTGAGCCGTCTCGGGAGAGGCGATAAATATTCTCTTGAAAGAACGCTCGCGATTGTTCGCTGTGTATTCTCCTTGTTCCTTCTTCTATTGTTTTTTTTTTTGTGCCGTCGTTTCCGTGCGAAGGTCGCGGTGACCGCGTTGCTCTCTAAGAGCATGTTAATTGGACTCATTCGCCTATCCAGCCGCGTGCATTTTCCTCCCACGTGCGAATGCGGTTGTCCTTGGCGGTCGGGTGGATCTTTCTTTCACAATGTCGGTTCTTAAAACGAAGATGTAAACTTTATTCTTTCTTTTGACAACTTCTGAGAAGAAACAGCTGTTGAAAACGTGCTTGGAGTACTTCTTCGTGAAGTGATCTAATAGAATCTCTTAATCAAAAAAAGAGGACAGGATTAGTGTAACTCACAGGGGGCAATGACCTGTTATACACTTTGAAACGCTGACCTGAATGTTTTTAGCAAGCTCGTCAGTCTTGCTCACTAAGAGTGGGGATAACATGGCCTGTGGGTCCTCGACCAAATTCCGTTGGTAAATTGTTTCGAAACACTGACTTTTTTGTAAAGTTAAAATTATTCATAAAACCTGTATAAAAATGATTTCAATCTGATTTCACCAGATAAAAAATCAGAAAAATTAATGTACGAAAACATTGAAACTCAACATTAAATTAGAACATTTATTAAAATTACGTAAATGATTTTATCTTAATATTATTAACTACGTTTCCTTCGGTCTGTGTGATTACAGAAAGATGGCTGATATGAAGAAGACAGTGTTTGCCTTAGTTGTTCTGTCACTTTTTGTGGCGGTGCTGTCAGCGCCGAAAGAGTGCATAAAGAACCAACAACCTGTATGTATGAGATGACATGAAGCTGCACATTAAGAACAAGGTAATATCTTGCATTATTGATCCTTATGTCGTTTTGCAGTGTGTTCACAAGAATGAATGCTGCGATGGGTGTTGCAGTGAGAGCAAATGTGCTCCTTGTAAGTCAAAATTATTTTTTTTCTGAGGAAGCAATCAGATTTTTCTTTTTTTGTTTCTTTACAATTGTTCGTGCGTGCAATACAAAGTCAAATCAATGACGAAAGGTCATTTATGGACCTGTAATATAAAATGTCTCCATTATTCGTGCTTAATATAATGAGATAATAGACAGCTATGGTCATTTATCATTATTGATATATTTTATTACTCAGTACTGATCCTTTTTTAAATAATTTAGATTTATTGGTCAGAAGTAAACAAACGATAATATCGGCATTTGTTTTTGCATTGGAAACTTGTCGAAAACCGCGATCGAGATGGGTACGCTCCAGTCAGAACAATATTAGATTCCTTATATATTTTTCTGCGTCTCATTTATCGTGCTATTTTTCAGAAAAAATACCCCAGGATTTTCTGGAAGTATATTTAAGGCACACATTAAACAGTCAATCGAATCCCTGAAGTGAAGAGACATTTTCTATAAACTTATTTCTAGTTTCTATCTTTCTATTTCCACGGACCAGTTGTGGTTCTTTCTAGTTTCTATCTTTCTATTTTCATGGACCTTTAGTTGTGGTGAGGCGTCCGGTCATCGACAGATGAAACGGCGAACAAAATAATCAAAATTTTGTGTTTTAAACGTTTTGAGCAAAAACTGGATAATGAATTAATACTTAGGCATATTTAAACAGTATATTTTACGAAACAGCTAAGGTACAGTGGTAATATAACGAGATGGCAAAAGAATCGCTGATATTGGCGCATCGAATTTAGAGCTCGTCCAAGGTCTTGTTGACTGTACCGGCCGCGGTGGGTCGTATTATTTCGCATGCCGATAAGCAGTCTGACTCATCCCAGCGTTCGGAAACTCTCGGCTGCGAAGCCTGACGAACCGCGCCATTCGAACTCACTCTGCTGGTACGAACTAGTGAGCGACTCGGCGCAGTGGTGTTGAGGGCGCCCTGATGCCAATGATGTTCACGGATGGACACACAGAAAGAGGGAAGAACGTTTTGAAAAAATACCACTTTTTTGGAATCAAGGGACCCCCAAACCCGTATTTCCATTCAAATCTCAAAATCGATTTTCCGCAGCTTTCTGATTACATAATTTTCTGCATACAATGACCTTTGTGTAGATACACTAGCATAGGGGAAGTAAAAGCGCGCGTATTATAAATATTAACGTCGTGTGAGATATTTAAAAAAAATATTACAATTGTGTAATTGTTGGAAAATCAAATATATACATCAAAATTAAGTTTGTCATGTTTTTCACTGCATTTAGCACAAACCGAAAAAAAGTATTCAAAAAAATTGGAACCGTTTTTGAGAAACGTTTTTAATATTTTAATATTTCACTTAAAATTGAACGAATACTAATATTACTTTCAAAACATTCAACATGACATTAATTAAATGAATTAATTGAGGGGAACAAATTTCATTCCAAGAGAAAATCTCTATATTTAATATTATAGTTGTAGGATGACGTCGAAAAGTATTCAAACTTATCAGTGAGTTAATAGTGAAAATCGGACCTATGTCACTTTTCAATGTATTTCACCCCCTTTTGCAAATTCCTACTAATAGTTTTGGCGAACATATGTCCTTATAGTCAGTTTTTTATGGGGCCAAATATGAATGCCTTATTGCTTTGCGTTCGCTGTGTGTTAAGTATATTCCCCTGCACGTCGCCCAGTGTGTTCTCCTACATACTACGCCACACTTTCCTCACATTTTTCCCATTTCCCCCATTATTTTCGATCATATGGTTAACTGGAAATTTAGAAATTTAATTCAAATTCTTTTGTGTTGCGAATACGTACTTTTCCAAATGTTTCTGCGGCGGACTGTGCAGTGGCTCCCCTGGCTGACAGAACTCGACACTATATGTAGCTTGAGAACCGTAAAGAACTCCCTAAAATGTAGAAAAAAGGTGCTCCTCAAAATATGTCATTTTGGCAGGCGAACAAGCAACTAACAAAATTCGTTACCCCTAAAACACAAGAATCCCTACATTAACATACGTTACCCCCAAACGCACGGAAACGGTGGGTCATAAACTATGAAAACAAGAGAATATTAATAATTTAATTGAGAATATTGAAAGAAATGGACATGTAGTTTGCAGTGTAAGATACTAAAATAAATAAGGATGTTGGGTAATGCCAGCAAAGGCGTTAATTAGGAGACTTGCTTGAATTGCAACAGTTGTTATAAATTATTTAACGTCTTCTTTACATTGGTCTGCTTGGCTTCTCTCCATTGATTTGATTTGTTTGCAATAGCCCATTACTAAAGTTCTAGTATAATACCGCGTTACTTTGTATTCCAGATGCTGATGGCTGCTCGGCACAGCTGAATCCTTGCTCCTTGCACGCCTGTCCTCCCGGGAAGACCTGCTACTTGCAGCCAGTGACTTGCGTGGCAGCTAATTGTGATCCTGTGCCAGCTTGCAAAGATCCTGACTACGATTATGAATAGCAAGAACTTACGTTTGTTTACTTTTCTCGAAACGTCCATCTAAAAATGTATGATATTTGTAGAGAAAACGTTAACCAAAGAGAATACGCATACAAAATCAGTGGAGGTTGCACCTTCAAATTGATATTATCTAATCCAAGTGCTTTCTTTGTGCGCGTTGAAATGTTTTTGTAATACGATCCTGCGATCAGCTTCTGACCATTGTTTTGGTCGTGGATCCAGTTACGTAATTTGAGATTGGTTTCACGTTAGTATTATTATATTTTTTCGCTTCCATACTAATATGGAGTAACGTCTGAGTATATTACTTCGTAGGTTATCATTGTGGGTTACATCTCTCGAAACTTATTGGATCCAAATGGCAAAAATTCATTCACTTTTTCAAATCCTTACAAACACTTTTGGATATGAAACTATCTAGTCCGTAGAAGTATTTCTCGAAACAAAGTTTTTGAAATGCATACTTTATTATCAGCTTCTGGATGTCTGCAATTTAAGTTATTTTTGAAAATTAGAATATTTAAGGTTGAGGCTATGTCTCAACAAATTCTATCATTTAAAGATAAGAATATTTGAAAATACTGATCCCTTTGCTACTGTATTGTTGTGTTCTTACTATTTTCAGTTTCGTGTCTAAGGAAATATGTAAATATCTCAGAGTATAATTTTGTAATTTGTGTTTGATTATTACATTATGTTTTCCGTCCATAAATTTAAGAATATTTTTCCAGTAAATATTTATCATAAATACTTTTTTAAGCAAATGTAACATTTTGTATTTGTGGATTACCTTGTTTTCAGTATTATTGAAGATAATTTGGTTACAAAATAAAAACATAATATCATTTTTGTTAATTTTGTTTTAGATGTCCGCAGTTATTCAATATGAAGTAAGAATGATACTAATTTCCTACTACTGTACTGCATATTACTAATTTCCAAGATGCCAGAAATTAAAACGGAAGTATCCAGCCATGTGAGAGGTATCTGTGGTTTATTTAGATACCCAAAAACTCGGAGGAAAATACTAAAACATCTATATTACTAATATTCAATGAGCAGGAAATGAAAAAACAACAACAAACTATGCAATCACGGGCCATGTGTGATGTACATGATGTATTAGATACTCAGGTTCTTGGGGAAAATCAACAACTTATGAAATTATTTCGATTGTGATTGAAGAATGCAATTAGATGATGAAAATATTCTGCCTATTTTCACACTACGCGTACCGACTGAATTCTCACACTCAGTGCGCCACTGCTGATGA